ATTTTGTGTTAATCGGCGAATGGCTGCGATTTTTTGCAGTTTTCGCATCGGAACTTCAGAGAAATACTAGAGAAACTTAACTATTAATGCCTCCAAAATCATTGTAAATTTTTCTTCGACCTTTATTATCTTTCGCTATGCGTGATTTTCAAATTACACTGGAAAAATCACCGATAGTGAAATATCGCTCATTGCTCATCACTAGACGAAATTGAAAATGACATAATTTTACGAAGAGCGAAAAACTTCCAACGTTTCTGCGTGTGACTGCAAAAACTGTGAATTTAAAACTAAAAATAAAACTCGAACGAATCGAAAATATGTGCAAAAGTTATGGCGAAGTGTGACAAAATCGAAAATTTGCATTTATTTCGTTTGGAAATTAAACTTTTGTAATTTAAAGCAGTACAGTGTGCGTCGCTGCAGATAAAATTTGGGAAAAAAGTGGATCCACCGCAACTGCGTCACTCATTGGAAAGCTTGAGCAGAGAAACGGCGAGAAACGCGAATTGAGTGGTAAAACAGAAGCGAGTGAATCGAGTTTGTGTGTATGTAAGTTATTGTTGTGTTTTTTTTTGTTAGTGAGGCCATGGATAACGTCAGGGTTTATTAAAACAGTACGTAAAAAGAAGTTATGCGAATTGTTAAACAAAAAAGAATAAATAAAATATTAAACAAATATAAATTTGAGAAAAACTGAGCAAAGAAAAACTCCGCAAAGCAGAAACCAACAGGAGCAACGACCAAGGCAAGCAAAGTAGTGCATAGAAGAGAGACGAAAAAGACATTGGAATTTGTTAATTGTGAGTACATACAGTAAAAGCAACAGCAGACGTTTTAGACATCGGACACGATAAATAACTATAGAGAAAAATTATTAAATATTTATTAACATATGAAAATACCAATACCTTAGCAAATTAAACATAACCTGAAAATGTGCTTTATTGCCGGTCGCATTGATAAAATTATTTAGTGAGATTTGGTGTCTAATAAAAGTGAAAAATTTGCAGGCATTCCTAGGCAAGGCACAAGTTGACGAATCGACGAAAGTGTCAACCAAGGAGAGAGCAAACGCCCTGTAGGTTCCTGATTTCTTGAAACGGTGGCCCTACTGGAAAATCAATTTTTGCCAACTTCTCGTTTGAGGGAGGGCGGAAAGATCAAAATTTAGTCGGAGAAGAAGAAGCACTAGCAACCACCCAACCCGAGAACTTGTCACAGCGCATTTTTCGCCAAAGCGGTCGGCAGACATTGCTGACGGTGTTGCAGCCGAAGCAGCCTTTAGCGCTGCCGCATTATCATTATTGGTTATAGAAAGAAATTTTATCTTTCTTTTCACCCGGTGAGTTTTTAAACCTTTTAATTGATTAAAATTGCAATACACCTGACATTTGAGACTGAAAGCCATGATAAAAACTATAGTGAAATAATATTATTGTAATAAAATTATTTCACTATGATAAAAACTACCAAAACTGATTACAGAAAGTTCACAATTGAGACATAGAAGTCGTTTGATTTGTGTGAGTTTTATGTGCCACTTCGATGGTTTTTTTTTCCATGTTTAAACTAGTAATTGGTGGGCGCGATGTGACCACATCGCAATGGAGAAACTTAGCTTGCACCTTAAGTATATAAGTATGTATGTATTAATGATGTTTATTTAAGCGGTTGGAGCGAGTGCCGCTACGACGGCATTGTTCATATCTATTTGTTTATTGCTCGTCCAATTGAAATCAATTTGGGATCACTTTGACATTTCTTTGGCCAATTATCAACGCAGCGCGTGCAGTGAGATTTTCTCTGCACCTCCATCCGTCATCAACTCGTGCACTGCTGTCGGTGGGGACATGTTTGTACGTTAACCGGCAACGTTTGCCAATTTGTTTCTTTCAGTTCAAGTGAGAATCACTGAACAAAACGATGCTTATAAATAGAAAATTGCGTATGCATTAAATTCGATGTTGGAGCGATGACGATGGCAACGTTGACGGCCGCTGTGTTGTGGTTGTGTATATGTACATGTATGTTTGTAGTTGGTGTTGCCTTGCGCCTCATCTACACACATACATTTGTTATACCCTCAAAACGAAAAGTTGTCGAGAACATGATTATTATAAAATTTGTAACGTAGGGTAAATGGATGTAAAAACCTCTTAATTTGGGAGTGAATTTAATTGAATTAATTTTGGAACAGAAAAGAAAAAAAAACAAGCAATATGTATAAACAAATTGCTGGACTTTGAAACTTGCCATTACGTCATTATTGTATTTAACTTAGTAATGTGGAAACATTGTTTGCTATTATTTACCTAAATATGTACCTACTTGTTAAATTGGCAAAGGTTTTTTAGATTTCGATATGCTCACAAATCAACCTCTTAAATGGTATATGTTATCTTTCCACTGTTTATATTTTATTTGCATTATCGTTGCTTTGGCAATTGGCTGCTTTGTTGATTGTAATAGAGATTTTTTTTAGCATTTTCCATTTCATTGTTCATACATATTGTACTTTTCAGCCTGATATTCTCGATAAACACGCTGGCATTTATAATTCTCCATAAAAGTAAAGGAACAATAATAAGAAAGAATAAAAGAGCACAACCGCATATATTATTCGCGTAAATAAATGGAATAAATCACTATGTCGTGGAAGTAATATCGTCGATTTTTTTTTATTTTACCCAAATAAGTAAATTCATATATGAATATAAATAATAAAAGCGGATCAAGCAGGCGAGCGGTGGGGCGAACGTATGAAAATATTGAACAGACTGAGTATACGCCACTCTTAGATCTCACACACACACACACACCTTATAGCCACCTTTACAAAAACAGAAACGAACGAAGCCGTGCTCCATAGCCGGTAGTTCCATTTTTTGCTCTTTTATGTACATACATACATATAGTTTTTTGCTACAAAGCCAGGAAAGATGATTCACTCGCTAAAACCCAACCGCTCCCACACTCGCGTCATATGGTCGACAGTTTGGTGGGTCGATGTCAGCTGCGGTAACATTTATCTATGTTATGTATATGCATAGTAGTCAAAAGCATAACAAGTAAAGAAAGGTAAAAGAAAACACTTTTTCCATCAAGGTGGCACATAAAAACGGCTGTGTACATACATATATACATACAAAACTGCACGAGAATAATTATATATGGAAAGGTGGTTTCTATCAGTTTTCTTTTTTTATAATATAAATGTGGAAATATGTAGTATAGCCATTATTTTAGTGATTTCCATGCTTAATTAAATTTCTAAAGCTTAAGAAAGCCTTCATAACATCCGGCGGCGTATAAATTGTTTTGGTTTAGCGACTGTGTTGAACAGATTTAAAAAAAGTATCATTAAAATTAAGCATAATGCAGAAACAAACAAAGAAAAGAACTGAATACTTTGGGTTTTAAAAGTGATTTAATATTCGTACTAGTAGTCCTGCCAACGGAAATCTCTAAATGTATTTATGTTATCTGCGTCTTCTTCCTTTCCTTAAAACCAAAATCTCAAATACGTGAACAATTTTACTGACTTCAGCAGGGACAAACAGTGCTTTTACAGCAACAAGCTAGCAATTTTCTATTAAAGTTAATAATGCCAAACTTATCATCGCTAATATTTATTCTCACTTATATTTTCAGTATAGATAATAACTTTACGGCGTGTAGCCGTAGCCGCACACTAATTATTTACTACCCTCAACAAAATACGAATACTCCAAAAAAAAATCACAAATATGGCGTATCGCAAGCCGAACGATTTGGATGGCTTCATTCAAATGATGCCTAAAGCCGATATGCGTGTCAAAGCTCTGCTCGCCGAAGACTTGGTCACATTCCTGAGCGATGAGTCAAATTCGATTGTTTGCATGGATTTGGGCATGCTGGTGGATGGTCTTATGCCTTGGCTAACTGGCAGTCATTTTAAAATAGCACAAAAATCATTGGAAGCATTTTCAGAGTTAATCAAAAGACTTGGTCCTGATTTTAATGCGTATAACGCAACCGTGTTGCCTCATGTGATCGATCGTCTGGGCGACAGCAAGGATACCGTACGTGAGAAAGCACAATTGCTGCTGCAAATTGTAATGGAATACAAAGTGCTTGCACCACAGACCACCATTGATAAGCTTGCAGTCGCCTGCTTCAAGCACAAGAATGCCAAAGTACGCGAAGAGTTTTTGCAGACCATCGTGAACACGTTGAACGAATATGGCACATCGCAATTGAGTGTACGCACCTATATACAGCCTATTAGCGCATTGCTGGGCGATCCTACAGCCACCGTACGCGATGCAGCTATACAGACGCTGGTGGAGATTTATAAGCATGTTGGTGATCGATTGCGTGCGGACTTGCGTAAAATGGATGATGTACCCACTACCAAATTAGCGATACTAGAACAGAAATTCGATCAAATTAAAGCAGAAGGTCTATTGCTGAAATCGGCTCTGCAAACTAATGCATCCGCCGCCAATAATGGTCACGATGAGTCCGACAACGTGAGTGTTCGGGATCGTCCGACGAAAATCGTTAAGCGTACTGTGTCTTCGACAATGCGAAGTAAGCCCAGTGCACAGGAATCGAGTGCAAGTAGCGATGCTGGCGCTGTCACTGCGGAAATATTCGAATCGACCTTCGAAATTGTGCCACAATTAACAATATTTCATCCAAAAGACATGGATGACATTTATAGGAATATTATTGTTGTAATAAGCGATAAGAATGCCGATTGGGAGAAGCGCATAGATTCGTTGAAGAAAATACGTTCACTATTAATGCTAAATATACAATCGCAACCGCAATTCGTGGCGCAATTGAAAGATCTTTCAATACCATTCCTCGACATATTGAAGGAGGAATTGCGTTCGCAGGTTATACGTGAGGCGTGCATTACAATCGCTTATATGGCAAAGACACTACGTAACAAATTTGAACCTTTCTGCGTGGCTATCATGGAGGCACTTATAAATTTAATTCAAAATTCTGCCAAAGTTATCGCATCGTCATCGAATATCGCACTCAGGTACATCATCAAGTTCGCACATTCGCCGAAAATGATAAAACTTGTTACGGACACACTACAACAATCCAAATCGAAGGACATTCGGGCCGCTTTGTGCGAAATGCTTTGTTTAATGTTTGATGAATGGCCAACAAAACCCATGGAGCGCTGCTCACAACAACTACGTGACGTTCTCAAGCGCACGATTGCGGATGCAGATAATGAGGCACGTCGTCATTCGCGTCGCGCTTATTGGAAATTTCGGCGGCATTTTCCGGAACTTGCTGATCAGATATACACAACGCTTGACATTGCGTCGCAACGTGCCCTAGAACGAGAGCGAGATGGTGGCAATGTGCTCATCGAGGCCGAACGTCGCTCTGCAGCGGCAGCACCGCGATTCCAACGTTCACCCGGTTCAATACAGAAGCCGGCGGCGGGCATGCGCAGCGTGTCCGCAGTAGACACTGCTGCAGCCCAACGTGCCAAAGCACGCGCCCAATACTCGTTTTATCCACGCAAGAAACTAAGCACTGTTGGCAATGCGCCTGCAGCGACATCTAACAGTACAGGCACTGCAGGCACAGCCTCTTTACCACGTCCACGATATATGGGCGGTGGCACAACGACGGGCGTAGGTACACCTGCGCCGTCAAATGTAGCAATTGCGGCGCGTACACGTGGCCGCGCTGGAGTATCGCAATCGCAACCTGGTTCGCGTTCCACATCACCCAGTTCTAAATTGCGTGAACCATACGGCTATAGACCGATAACTGGTACCATACCGAAAAAGGCCTCTGGCATACCGCGTTCATTGACCAGCTCGCGGGAAACTAGTCCAACCCGCGTTGCCATGAAACGGAGTATTTATTCCAAGAATAGCGCTACTAACTCAGCCCGACGCACTCCTGAACGCAGTAATCCGCGTTCCTTGTCTGCTGCGCGCATATTGCCGCAGAGCCGAGAAGCAGAAAGCGCACTGGCTGACGCGCTTTCACCGGAATCGGAGCGGGCCATCGACTATGGCGAGTATTCGCGCGGGTATACGGCTGGTTTGAGAATGGGTCGCAAATTGCTGCCGCGCGACGAGTCCGACGACTCCGAGGCATCGTCGGTGTGTTCGGAGCGGTCGTTTGATTCGTCAATGACACGCGGCAATAATTCGAACTATTCACTGTCAGGTTCAAGAAACCGCCTGGACTGGAGCTGCACACGCGCACCATTCGACGACATTGATACTATCATACAGTACTGTGACTCGTCGCTTTGGTCCGAACGCAAGGACGGGGTCATCAGCTTGACTCAGTACCTGGCCGATGGCAATCAACTGACACCACAACAATTGCAAGCTGTCTTAGATATGTTCCGTAAAATATTCGTGGAAACACACACAAAGGTGTACTCATTGTTTCTTGAAGCAGTTACCGAGCTGATACTAACGCATGCCAACGAACTACAGGACTGGCTGTTCGTATTATTGACGCGACTATTCAACAAACTTGGCATGGAATTGCTCAATTCAATGCACATTAAAATCAACAAGACCTTACAAGTGGTGCATGAATACTTCCCGCCCGACCAACAGCTTAGGGATGTCTTCCGCATACTAGCCGATACAGCGCAAACTCCCTGCACTAAAACAAAAATAGCCATACTAAAATTCCTCACTGACTTGGCAACCAATTACTGCAAATCCACCGACTTTCCTTCCGATGACGGACCGTTGGCGGTTGATAAGGCTGTGCTAAAAATTGTCCAACAAGCCGGTGACCCCAAGAGCAAAGATCTGCGTGATCAAGCGCGTAAATGTCTCATTGCGCTCTATAATCGCAGCACACCACAAATGACCAAGTTGTTGTCTAGCCTACCTAAGGGCTATCAGGATACCGCAAAAGCCATCATTCAGTCACATTTGCGACGAAGCAGTACTTCCGGCACAAATTCACCATCCTCCCCGCATTCAAGTGCCAGTCCTAAGCCGCTACAGAGCCCATCGCTTGGCCCATTTTCGTCGCTGCAGCCACAGTTCAATACTAGTCCCCGCTCGCGACAGTCGTCAGTCGACCACGAACTCTACTCGGAGGCTGATGTTCAGCATAATATACACAAAACATCCGAGGAGATCCGTAATTGCTTTGGAGTAGGTGTCGGCATTGAGTCAGCCACCAATAATACACGTCAGTATCATTCGCTCTCCAATGCCAACGGCTATAATGGCTACCTGCACGATCAGCAAGACTCGTGTGCATCTTCCAATTCAAAGACACAGTCCGCCACCACTACGGAATCGAATACACCGGAAAGCACTACAATGCGCTTAGATGCAAACCTGTTGGAACAACATCAACGCATGACCACAAATGTTGGGCTCACATCAGCAACCAACGCCAACACAGCCGTGGTAAGTGGCTCCACACATCATAGCTCTCGTTGCAACTACACCGTCGCCTCGAACGGTGAAATTGTGCTCGAAAGCGGCTTGACCGAAAGCGAAATTATACGCGTGGCATGTGGCCTCAAACCTGATATGCCAGTGGATCAGCTCCAGCAAGCGCTTGCCAATTTGGAGATCTGCATTAAAGGTGGCAATTGCGAGCTTCCAAACAAACATTTCCGCGCGATCATGAAAATGCTGCTCGGGCTATTAGAATCACAAACAGCTGATGTGATGATCGCCGTGATAAGTGTGCTCGGCAAAATTGTACGCAGCACCAAAATGAAAGATACTTGGAGTAACTTCCTTGAGCTGATATTGCTGCGCATTATCAATTGTTATCCGCACAGTAAGGAGACAGCGCGTGAAATCGATTTGATCATACCGCGTATTGTATCTTCGTTGCCACTGAATGCCACCATAAATATTGTAAACCCTGTTATAGCGACCAGTTGCTATCCGATGAACTTGTGCGCTGTGAAGTTACTCACAGAGCTGGCCGACCGTCACGGCGCCGAATTGACCGAATTTCATTTGGATAGCATATTTCCGAATTTGGCGCGTCTCACCGACGACAGCGAATCGATGGTGCGGAAAGCAGCTGTTTTTTGTATCGTTAAGCTCTACATAGTGATGGGTGAGGAAAAGGTGAAACCGAAATTGTCGGTATTAAATCCAAGCAAAGTGCGTTTATTGAATGTGTATATCGACAAGCAGCGCGGAAGCAGCGGTGGTGGCAGTTCAACGAAAAATTCATCAGCTTCATCATCATGATTGCGTCGCACACATACGACGGCGGCGCACGAAGATGCGGCGGACGTAGATCGGCGGCAATCACCACAGCAGCAGCAACAACAACAACGATACGAGTACCAATAAATGTACGGCGGTCGTTAGCATTCTTCGGCACTCAATCGTTTGTTAAGCTGATGGATTGGAACGCCGTCGACTGTGGGGGCGGTGTTGTGTATATGTGTATGTTGTGTGCGTACATGTTGTGTTTGGATTTGTTAAAATTTTCTTAATCTAGGTAAAGGCATTAAATGCAATACTCTTTAACACAGATTAAGCAGCTTGCTGGCTTGCTGGGGTGCCAAAGTGGGGTTAGGTGATCGGGTTGTTGTAAGCGAAAATCGCTTTAACGTATTCATTATTCCAAAAACGCGCTAATATGACCGGAAAAATAAGTTGCTGCGGAAAAATTGATAGTTTGTTTATATGGAGGGCCTTTTTATTTCAGCGCGGTCGTTGGTTAATATTTGAAAATTAGTTGATTTCAAAAGAATGCGGCTTAGGAAATAGTTTATTAAGTAAGCTGTTCAATTGCAGTACAACACACTTACGGCTTTAGTAAGAATTCCGAGTAAAACAGAAACGGTATTCTTAAAAAAAAAAAAAGTATACTTTTCCCGAGTTTCGAGTTTACGAGCTGTAATACTCGAAGCTGGTTTTATAACCTTGCTTTTTATTCAACCGATATCAGTAGTTTAAATAATAAAATCCAGCACTTTCCAATTGCTTCTTGCGTTTTGACCTGATTTGCATTTATTCTCGTTCGACTCCACTTTGGCTAAAGCATGACAGCTTATGTTATGAGCGACTGCTTGCGAGTTTACATTAGAAATTAAATATGTATTTGCATAATTTTACTTATAAGCAAACCAACAAAAAAAGAACATAAATATGTATATTTAAAAAGAAATCCCTATAAATTAATTGATACTGATATCGCTGATAACTAATAGTAATTTGTTAGTTATAATTACATTTAATTAACTCGAGTGGTAGAAAGAACAAAACTGAAACTAATTTTTCTCGCACATTCTTTGTCTCCGTAACTTTATACATAAAATGTTTAATTAACAATGCCACACGCCTGTCAACACCTCTAGCAATGATTAATTTGGGCACTTTCTCCGGTTACACAACATTCGAATACAATCGAAAAAAGCTAAAATAATTATTTGTTTTTGTAAACCCGCGCTCTTTGTTACGTAAACCGGTATCTGTAGGATTTTGTCACTTGCTATGTTTGAAATGTCCTATTTTTAAAATGTATTCTAAATTTTCTTTCCACTTTTTTATGTTTACTTTATTTTTTGTGTTGCATTTTATTTTGTAAATTTTGAGTGTAATTTTTAAACGAACCTCTTTTAATTATTACTTGTATTTCATGTATTTATAAGCTTAATGATTTTCTAAAAACGATATTTCGACTATTTACGCAAAACGAAAATATTGATGTAAAATACATACATACATGTAAAAAAAAAAACAATAAAACTAAATTTAATTTTTAATTGCGTTAATCCTACATCTAAGTTATATGCATACTTTAATATCTAATTTGTACAATAATTCAGTAAAAGTGGACACTTTCTCTGCGTTTATTTTTGCAAAAAAAAAAAATTATTCCAAGAAACAATAAATAACAAAAAAAACCTGCATATGTATGCAGCTGTAATTTTTTCTGCTAATCAAAATATCTATGAAAATGTGTTGTGTTTATAATCGAATAATTGATATTTGCAGGGAAAAAATGCCAGCAAAATTTTACCATCATTTTCTTCAGTCTGCCTTTTTTCACATTCGCATCATTCGATACATTTTTGTTTCTGCAACTCGTTTTTAAATATTCAATTGGACATTTGCATAAAAGCATTGCTTAATAAAGGAAATAAAAAAGTATATAAAAACTGTAACCAAAAAAAGAAACCTTATAAACAAATAGCAGAAAGTTAAGCATTAATAGATAAACTTAAAAAAAAAATACAAGTAATCCAATTAAAATTAGAACTATATAAATACGTATTTAAATTTCGTTATACACTTGACATTGATATATATGTATATGTACATGAAACTAATTCGTTGCAAGAATTAATGCTAAGTAATTAGTTTGCAACAAGTTAATAACAACAGATTCTTTGCATTCAGTATGTAAAGAAACAAATGCTCTAGTAGAACTGGCAAATACCATAACCGAATTAAAAACTATACGCTAACGCGCCATGCGTACACAAGGAGCGCATTTTAATGTCATTGGAAATTATTTACATATGTATAACAATTGAAGAATTCAAATACACAAATGTAACATGAAGTGAGAGATCATTAATTAAAAAAATGCTAATATGCGAAATAAACAAATATTTAGACTAGCTTAGTTTTTCAAAATAATTGAAAATTTAATAAATAAACCAACATTAAAAAAAGTTGCCTTGGATTTTGATCTTTTTTGGGCTCTTTTCAAACCCATTTAATACATATGTACACGAGGGTGAGTTCAATGTTCGAAACCATCGGGCCTATTCCCGTTGGAATTGTCGCTTTTATGTCCCTGTCGTTTTTAACGCCGCTTCGCTTCTAAATTCGCATTGTTGCAATATGTAAGTATGTACATACATACATATACACACTGACGGTAGAAATAATAGACTCGCCGTACTTTGAAGAGATTTGACTATATTTCTTTAGTGTATTTTATGTTTAATATTTTTTTATAAAAGCATAGGTAGTTAAACAACAAACATCGTATAAATCCGCTTTTCAAACTTTGAACAAAAATTATAAAAATTGGCCAAATTTTAAAAATTTTTATTCAGAATTCTATTTTGGTATGCAGTTTTGTAAAACGTGCACTTTGTTATACTAAAATTGAATGGGCTATAAAACTGCATACCTGGAATTTTTCTAAAAAATCTGAATAGAAAGTTACAATTATCGAAAATAAATTAGAATTTATGGCTAATCACTATATAGTAATGATATTCCATAATTTTAGACTTTGAATTTATTTAATTTTTAAAAAGAAACTTTTTAAGTTTGTATTTGGAGGACTTTTTGCAAGGCGTATTAATATAAGGTGATAGCAGGAGTACAAAAACAAAAATTTGCATGTATTTTGTTTTTGCTTTGGCGGAATAAACCTGCAGGCATTTTCTATAGCGGAAGTTACTGATTCGACACGATATTCCTGTGAAAATCATCGCCGACGTTATCCTTATTTAGGGCCGGTTACTCAATGTCCGGTTAACACTAATCTGCGGTTAAACATCGTTATCGACGTCTTCGACTCCGTGCATACAACAGGGAGTCGGTAACGTCGATAACTATGTTTAAACGGAGATTAGTGTTAACCAGACATTGAGTAACCTGCCCTTAGGGCCGGTTTCTCTATCTCCGGTTAACACTAATCCCCCGGTAAACATCGTTACCGACCTTATCGACTCCCTGTTATATGCATGGAGTTAGAACGTCGATAACAATGTTTAACCGGGGAGTTAGTGTTAACCAGAGATGGAGAAACCGGCCCTAAGTGTGTGTGGAAATTCAAACAAAATTTTTCAATTTGACATTTGAAGCCTTGAGGCCATGATAAAAACATAGCAAGGTAGAACCATTCTCTCAATTTGTCGGCCATGATTTTTTTTTAAGTTTGCCAACATTTTAAAATCATATAAAAGTGAAAATAAAAAATTGAAACTGTTCGAAATTGTTGTTGCTTGAGATTGAAAATGAAAATGTGTGTGTGTGAGTTTGTGAGTAAATTTAAAAATTAAATTGTTTGGAAACGTCAAGAATTTTAAAAGTGACTCTCAGCGGTTCTACCTTACTATATTTTTATCATGCTTGAGGCGAAACACGTACACAAAATCAGCTAGTAAAATAAAATCTAAGAACAATTGAACCAAGGCGAATTCATATAAGGTGGTATAACAACAATTACTTGAATTTTGTTTTTGCTTTTAGCTGGTCATTGTCAAATTTCAGCTATTCTTCTCCGAATGAAAAAGGGCGACAGAAAATGCAAACACTCTCACGTTTTCACTCACTCACTAGCAAAATATAAAATTTTGACAATCAAATGCTACTCACAGCTGATTAAACAACACCACCTTATATAAATTCGCCTTGAATGGAACAATTAAAAATGACACAGGTATAAAAGAATAAGGTAAATTATCAGGGATGGTAATCATGATGAGTAAAATAATTTAAATCAGCATTTAATCATTATTTTCTGATTTTCATTTTTTCGCTTAAAATAAAGTAATTATTGAGTTTATTTTTTCGCTCAACGAAAATAATTATTAGTTGATTTTTATTTTGTCGATCACACTTTTTTTCGCTCAGATATAACAATTATTATCGAGTTTTATTTTTCCACATAAAACTGATTATTAAATTTAAAATAGCATACAGACGCAACCAACTGAAATTTTTATCTGATAATTTTGGAACATCCCTTTTATTAGGATATCGCTATCTCTGAAAAACATAGCTTTTGAGCTTTTTGAATAGTTATTATTCTTAAGTGAAAAATAAAAGTCAGTAATAATTATTTTCCTAAAAAAATAAATATCATAAAATAATCGAGCAATAATTTTAAAAACTTTCTTCGTTTATGTACCATACACACGCTCATATCCTCTGTCTTATTTAATATCGCAAATCTCTTATGGTAACTTGAATTTTCAAAAGCCTTTTATGCTTGCGGAATACGTAATGAAAAAATAAATAACAACAACAAATAATTTTTTATCACTTTTTGGCTACTACGTAATACATACGTACAAAGTTAGTTGACCTGGACGAATGATTAATAAGTTAACCAAGGCTTTGATAAATTGCTACAACAAAGACATCAACAGCAAATACACATGTTTACTATGCTTCTATAATTAACTTTTCCATAGTTCTTACAACCGGTTTCGATGTCTGTATTTATTTCCTAAACTTATTACAAAAAACTTTTGGCCAAATTGCTATGGTAAAACTGGTTGTAATCCTAAACGCATTAATAAAAAGCATCCATGTCTTTAATTAATAAACCAGAGAAGTTGAAGATTTCCAATTCGCGCAACCTTGCATGGTTACGCACGCTAGAACTTACTAGCTAGTGTAGTTTAAAAATAAAACACGGATGCTCTGTATCAATACATTTAGTAATACATTCATTGGTGTATATGAATGAAGACAAATATTTCCAAATAAGGGAACGTTTTAAATTAGTGAAAATTTTTTACATGTAAGCCCGCAAGAGTAACTACAAAAAGTTTAAAGTTGATATTAAGAAACGTGACTTACCCATCTGGTCGTAAAATGTATGTATGTAGACCCGAAGCTCGAAGTACATATCCCGTTCAATTATCTACTACCCATCTGTTAAGTTATTCCGGCGTTTTATTTCAAAAAGCGCATTTTTTAGGGCAAACTTGATTTATTTGAAGCTATTTGAAAGGGAACTTAAATCTAAATATGTACGAAAATGTATAGAAATGAAATTTATTTAAAGTTGTTTACAATGATTAAATAACAATGCAAGCCATCTCGCATTTTAAGCGCATTCTGTATGGCCTGTTTATAAATAAATACTACGTATAAATTGCTGTTTGCTTTCAAGGTAAGAATTCCTACATACATATTTAAGTTTATCTTTTATTGCATACATGTATATATTTAGCAGCAATAACAGGTATGCTATGATGACACAATATAAAAATACATATCTAATGCACTTTTGTTTTTCTCTGCCTTTCTTTAATTTAACAACAAAACATGTTTTATGTATTTCTTTACTTTCAGGAAAACCACTTTGAAAAACATTACAGGTATGTATGCGTGTGTGTGGTATCAGCAATTTTTTTTTTAATTAATATCGTCCATTCGCTGCCACTCAAGGCGAAACAACTGGTGCCATTTTATTTTCCCTTATCAACGTACAATCAATCCAAATCATCGCTATTAACTCCTGTGTATATTGGTTCTTCAGCCGTTTTATCCAACTTGCCACCACCAGCAACACTCTTAAATTTACCATTATCTGCATTTTCAACGTCGGCTTCGGCATCCTTCTCTTCTGTGGCACCAATTTCGGCATCTGCTGCATTTGGCACCCACAGACCGGAGTCGACACAACGCTTCATATGATATTTGGCTTCCTCGACTGGTAATTCGGCAATGGCTTTTTGCAACAGCTCTATGTCGCGCGATTCAAAGCATTTTTGCAGGCTCTATTTCAAAATAACAATACATTTCAGTTACATATGTATGTATATTCATTAGCAATTTTATAAGTCACCTACCTCTGGCAGCGTCTCAAACACCTCGGCTGGATCCAGTCCACCAGGCCCGAGTCGCGCCTTCCTCTCTTCTTCCTCCGCTTCAACTAATGCTTCCTGAATCTTCTCCTGCGCTCGTTTCCTTATGCGGCCCTTGAAACCTTCAATTTCATTTTCGAACTGTTCTCTGTACTCGGGGACGCAGTTTTGGATTTTCGAGAAGAACGAACTAACACAGGCACGTGGGTCAATTTCCAATTGCTTTGCCAGTTCTAATATGTATTGCATACAGATGCACTGATGCGCAACATGTGCCATTAGGTCATGTTTTTCTTCCATTTCCAAATTAATGGACCAAATGACCAAGTAATTTGCGGTTTCCTCACATACAAGATCCAAATGTTGTTGAAGGAAGCGTTTGGAATCGTCGTATTTACGTAGCATACCATACTGTTTGCATAACTTTTCATTTTCTTTAACAAATTTCTTCATTCGTGCTTCTTTTTCTTCTTCTGTGAGATTCTCGTCTGATTTTCGCACAGCTTGTTTATTTAAGACAGTTTTTTCGAAGCCAGGTTTGCTGATTGTATCCACATTCCAAGGAGCTTTTTTCTCCTTTTGGATAAGCTCCTCTTCTAGCCGGTCGAGTTCTTTGCCTTCCTTTTGAATTTTCTCCAACTCTTTCTGCATGGTAATATCATTTAAACAAATTTTAAAGAAAAAA